GTATATTTTCTGTACTTTGGTACCAGTAGGCTGGTTGCCAAGTTAAACACAAAAGCTGCCAACTAAACAAAATCAAAATGTCATGTTGAAATCGAGGTTTCAGACTTTCGTACAAAGCAGTATATGTTGTAAAAGAACCTTAAAAACAGGAGTCCCAAATTCTGAAACCCAGAGGCTATGATATAGCTATCTTTAAGTACAGTCTGGCCAGGACAGACCACAATCTGTTCCTAGGGACAAGGTCACCCGGACAGTCCTCGAGGGGTAGTTTTACTTAGTTCTAATCTGTGACTCATACTATTCTTTCATCCTGGCCAGCTCCTTCACAGATGGCCCAGAGGCCCAAGAGAGGGGCTGTAGCTGGGAGTGCTACAAACGCGCTAATCCTGGGAACACCACTCTAAGTTCTTATGAGTTCAGTGTTTTCATTTTTGTCAGTTTTCCTTTTTCTGTTATTTCGGCATCAGTCACTTGGAAGAACGGTCGTTCTATTCATTAAAGCCCAGATTGCAAATTCCAAACCTCAGGTTGACTCCCTGATTACTTAAATGTGCATAAACCTCTACAAAGCTTTCGTGGTGCTTTGGGTGCATTCGTTTCTTCCTTTTGAGACATGGGAATGAATTATCATCCATAGGAAAAGATTTTATATGTCGGAAATGGTCTGCATAGAATAGATATTGAACCTTGATCATTATCTGACAACTCATTTATCAGCTGTCATTAGTATTACTCTACACAAATAGGTATGGCTGGGATCTGCTGGTACCTGACTTTGAAAGTATGTCTTTGTTAGGTCATGAGCTTCCTAAGGGAAAATACTTTGCTAACACTCCCTTCTCTCCATATCAGTACTCAAAAAACTGCCCTGTGCCAGTGGCACCCAATCAATACTGATTTTTAATGTGCGATACCACTAACTAGCTTTGGGGATCTCTGAACACCTTCATTCCCATCTCCAAAATAAAAGATGGTTGAGCTACACTGCTCTGTTTGTCTAGGTGTCTTCCAACTCTATATTCTATGATTCTTTTTTCCTTGTAATTCCTGTTTTAAAAAAATTTATTTATTTATTTATTTTTTTCTTCATACCTCCCCTCACTCCTACACAGTACAGAGCAACCGATTTCGTTGTTCCTGGTCCAGGAAAAGTAGAGATAACCTACACGCCAAGTGATGGGTCCCCAAAAATGACGTACCTGGTACATAACTTTGAAGGTATGTAATTAAAGTTCATCGTGGTCATTTTTGTTTTTTTTGTTTTTACAGATCATTTAGACAACATTATTTCTGATGATTTAAAGTTGTGTGGCTGCATAAAAGTATAACCTGATTCTACATATCTATGGGGCCCAAAACCTAAAATAATAATTGGCTTCTGTGTCTTCTTGTGGCACGGATAAAGGCACAAAAGGAATTAGCCACTTAATTGGAAATGCATATAGACAAGTAGATAACTAGGCATTTCTCTTAAAACACGAAGGGAAGGTTGGTGGGAATCTGTTGTGCATGGGTTATATAAATTAACGTTAATAGACCCAAATTACCTGTCATGTAATCCTACCCTATGTGTTCAAAAATGGTTGTGTTATATATTTCCTGAAATTTTCTTTTTAGCCATCTGAGTATTTATTCTGTGGAAGTGGAACATTTGTTTTTTGCCTTTTGTTGTTCACCATCTTGCTGCTTCAAAGGTCCCTTATGGCAAATCCCACCCAAAAGTTGTTGACAAAACAGGACCGTTTTTCTCCCCTATTGAAGCTATTGAAAGCACTCACACAATTAAAAACTCAAAAAGTTACTTCTGTTTTCCTCCCCCCCCCGCCCAATAATAGCATTTTAATGGAATCTAATTCACCCAGTTTCAGCACCTTTTACACAGTCTGAGCCTACATTGACTCTGGACAGTGGCATGGATTCAAGTTCTACCTTTCAGTAATAACAGAGTTCAACTTACAAGAGTTGTGAAACACCAGTGATTACATGTAGCACCATTACTTCTACAAATAACAGTATGAACTGGCAGTACCCTCTCGGGAATGAACAAGAATTATTCACTCTTTGGCTGAGGATTAAGTGCACACTTAAGAGTTTAAAATACGTGCTTGAAATTTTGAAAGTATGGAAAGACCATTTCAAAATCATTTGCCCTTTCTTGAGTATTTCTGGTTCATATCTGTAGTTTTGGGTATTTCAGTATCTTCAGGATCCTAAAGACCGTGTTTTTCTCATTTCTATTGCCCTTTCAAAATAAGTTAGAATGCCCTTATTTAGAAATGACTTTCCTCCTGTTATGTGCCTGAGGAACTCATGGAATATTCAAGTTGGAAACCTGGCTGGGACTTTTTAAAGCCTGGGCTCAGATAAGTGGGCTAAGAATTAGGTGTTTTGGTGGTGGAATGATTTAGACTTGTTACAACTGTATCCCCATTTGCTTTTCTCCTTTTTTCTCTCATCTGTGTTCCCTTGCAGAGGGTGGTGGTGTTGCCATGGGGATGTACAATCAAGATAAGTCAATTGAAGATTTTGCACACAGTTCTTTCCAGATGGCTCTGTCTAAGAGTTGGCCTTTGTATCTGAGCACCAAAAACACCATTCTGAAGAAATACGATGGACGTTTTAAAGACATCTTTCAGGAAATATATGACAAGTAACTATAGTTCTTTTTTCCTTTTTTTTTTTCTCAAGTAAGCCGGAATTTATAGTATAGAATTAGTACCCTTATCCCTTTAATCCTGGGACAAATGGAGAGAAGAACCATCACTATCCCTTAAAGACAAGGGCAAAACTAAGATTTAATGGGAGTGAAACAAAATCAGTCTAAGTTGCTTTTCGAAGGTAAATGTGTTCTCAAATAAGGGGCCCACATTTATTATTTTTTTCAGAGCCAGAATTGTTTAATGTTTGAAATAAAAGTGCCCTGTTAGTGATAGAAAGTTCTGATTTTTCAAGTATATGAGTTTCTGAGTTGGGCCCATTTTCCTTCTTTCTGCAGCCCGTTGTTATGATTTAAAACTCTGCTTTACTGTAATCACTTGAACTGGAGCCTACATTTATAACAACTTTAGATTCAACAACATGTGAGCATGTGCTAAATTTTAAGATGGCATAACTGCCTTTTAGGGGCAAGTGTTCAGGCCAGGGCACAGATTTTAGTTATCTTTCGTGGGGCATTTTAATTCCTCTTCCCACTACCCATCTGTACCAAGCCTAGAAGCTGTCCTAGTTTGCTAAATTATATCAAGTGGTAGAAGAGTCACTTTTTCCCCTTTGTCTGTTCTTAAAGTAAGCTGAATCTTAAGACTCTGATCAGTAGTGTATTGAAAATTGTAAAAGTAGTATTTGGGACACTACTGTTTTGCTTCTCACATCTCTGCAAAGAAGGTGAAATCGCCCTTATAGATGGGGAAATTGGGGCTTCACAGCTAGAAAATGATTGGGCAGCAATTTGAGCCCATGTCTTTCAGATTCTCAAGTTTGTGCTGCTTCTACAAAAAAGTGCTGCTTCCAGTCGCACCCCTCAAACCCCCTATAGAGAAGCAGATGGTGTCCCTAAAACCGATTTCCTCCTTTTTGATTGTTCTTTTCTCTCCTGGTTCTTAGGCAGTACAAGTCCCAATTTGAAGCCCAGAAAATCTGGTATGAGCACAGGCTCATCGATGACATGGTGGCCCAAGCCATGAAATCAGAGGGAGGCTTCATTTGGGCCTGTAAAAACTATGATGGCGATGTCCAGTCGGACTCCGTGGCCCAAGGTAAGGAGCTGGAGGACCCAGCGGACGTGGAGCTCGGGCTGTGGCAGGTGGCTCATGCCACAGTAGTTGCCCCGGGTTAGGAAGGGGGTCCTGTAGCCCTTTTTTGTAAACCTCACGAAAGGTTAGCGCTGCAAGCCATCCAGGTCCGTCTTCTCACCTGACAGATGACGTGAAGCTCAGACTGGGGAAGCACGGTAAAGTAGCTCAGTGGGTTGAGGCTCTGGGCTCCAGACTTAGATGTATGAACACAGTTTTCTCTCTCCACCTTTTTCCCCACTTGAAGGTTCAGTGCCACCAGCAGGCAGCCCAGGTGCATGATCTGAGAATCACTCCTTGTCCCTGCCTTTATTTTTCCTCTGATGAGAATGTAAAAAATGAGGTCACTTGGGCAAGGAAGAGATAAAGTGAGGGCCCTGGGCTGTTCTAACAGGGCGGCTCTCTAAGAGCGCATCCATCCGGCAGCGGGTCCCACTCATGCCCTGTCTGCCATCCCTGGTATCATATGAAACACAGGTGTTCACTGCTTAGCTTTAAGTACAAAGGAACGGAGCGAAGAAGCCTAGGGCTGTTGACAGAAATTCAGAAACCAGAGGCTTCATGTGGGGAGTAATCAACAGAAACGCCCTGATTTACTCAGCACTGAGTTGCCCTTCAATTTCAGTTCCCCATGGCAACTGCTGTAACTCAGAACTCCCCTGATGAACGTTTATGTTAACTTTAATTATGTTTGCTTTTCCCCAGGAAGTACTGCTTTTTCTCTCTCTTATGGAAAGTTAAGCATCTCCTATCAGCCTGAAAATCAGTAGCTCAAGGGGTTAAAGATAACATTTATGTCCGATAGTGAGTTACACAGCTCTGTAAAGCCTCACAATGCAGTGGAGGAAGGGGTGTTCCTTGGTCGTGACTCCAGAGTGGATGAGGGGAACTTCCTCATAAAGGGACCCAGTCATTCCATTGTTTCTAAACGTCCTCATGGTAACAAGAAGAGAGTATGTGGCGGGATATTTCAGATGTAAATGTCCAGTTATGGACGCTCAGAGGACTTCGAAATAGGAGTTCTCAGGTGCAGAGTCCAGTAACACACTGATAAGATACCTGGATCCTAGGCTGTCTGGGCAGAGCCTGAGAAATGTGACCTCAAGGCAGCTGAGCAGATTAAAAGGCAGCAGAGCTGTCCTTACAGTCTTCTTCTTTCTCAAGAGGCAGGAACTACTTTGGACTCACACCAAACACTTCATTTATTTCTTCTGTTTTGACAGTGGTACCAACTAGTGTCTCCTAATATTAATAGACAGACAAACGCACCATGGAGGGCGTTCTGCATTTCTGCTAATGCCTCAGACCGACTCAATAATAGGAGGAGAGCAAGTAACCCCACACAGCAATTTCTAACTGTACTTGAAGCTGTGTTTTAAAAAGATGTTTATTTACTTACTCTCAGACCAAACACAAAAGTAGCAATCCCTTATAAATTTGCATCAACTCGAGAGGTGCTATTGGGAGACAGCAAAAACGGAGAAAAATGTTCTTTGAATACAAGGTTAAAAGAGTGAATAAAAGAAGAAAAATCAATTGTATGGACTTAAAAATTGTAAGACAGCTCTGAATAGGAAACCACAGAATAGAGTTGTGGCTGTTTCAGAGAGCAGGGCAGGCGGGCTGTTCTTGTATCCATCCCTTCCTGTCCTTAACCTGCCTTTCTTTTCTGTCCTAGTGAGTTTGTGAGCAGTTCGATGGCAGGTGACAACTCACTAATCTTTATTTTCCCAGAACAGTAGAGCATCTGCACATAAGAGTAACAGTAATATATTGAGCTCTTCTTCTTTTAGTGGGTAAGAAAACTGAGCCACGGTAGCTAGGAAGTCACAGAACTAGGGTGGAATGCAGGCACTCGGACCCTGAGCCCTCCATCATGGAGCAGGTGCCTCTCACATCGATAAGTGAGGGCCAAGCGCAGCCTTTCCAGACTCTGGCTCTGAGATCTGGAGCAGGGACCCTGCCTTCTGAATGGCAGGATTATCAGTGAGGGCACATGCTCATGTTTATTTTGTTGACCGAGACCTGTGAAGATTGAGTCATTTGCTCTCATCTCTGAGCGACCCAGTGTTCTTTATGCAGTTGAAGCCAATACTTCATGCTCTGCCACTTACAGGTTATGGCTCTCTTGGCATGATGACCAGTGTGCTGATTTGTCCAGATGGCAAGACAGTAGAAGCAGAGGCTGCCCATGGGACTGTAACCCGTCACTACCGCATGTACCAGAAGGGACAGGAGACATCCACCAATCCCATTGGTAAGATGATGTTTGTTGCTTTCTACACTCATTTCCAACCAGAGAGTGACGATCTCCAGAGGGACTCGGATGTATTCCTTTGGCTACCCGTAACTTAGTGGGTAAAATTAACACCAAACGGCTGATATGTTCTAATAAAAGCTGTTTTAATATGTTACTTAAAATACACATAACATACGCTTTTCCATTTGGTGGGAGAATGCCGATTACAGAGGACAAGTGTTATCAACAAGCATTGTCCCTTTTCCTCTGGTGCAGTGAAATCTGACAGATGGCTAAGAATCTAAAAGCCACGTGGATAGATCCTTCTGGCCAGGTTTCAAGGACAGCACATTAAAAAGAGATTACAACCTGGAAAGGAGGGGAGACCAATATACACAAGGGGAAAAGTTTCTATTTGGTAAAATATTTCCTACTTTCCTAAAACTTAGAGTGCATGGAGATAGCATGTACTGAAGTCAGTCATCTAAAAAAAATAACCTGTTCTATTTTTGGAATTGAAATATTTGGGAATAGCTGTAGCTGGTATGATTGAAGTGTGCTTCTTTTCTCTTCCTCTTTCAGCTTCCATTTTTGCCTGGACCAGAGGGTTAGCCCACAGAGCTAAGCTTGATAACAATAAAGAACTCGGCTTGTTTTCAAAGACTTTGGAGGAAGTCTGTATTGAGACCATTGAGGCTGGCTTCATGACCAAGGATTTGGCTGCTTGTATTAAAGGTTTACCCAAGTAAGTATAAGATACCGTGAGCTCTGTGGTCAAGTTACCACTTATCCTCACTGGGCTCAAAACATCAGTGCTTTTTGGAATTACAGGAAGTGTTCTTCACCATCTAGTTCAGGGGCCAGCAAACACGATCTATAAGTTACCAGATAATAAACACTTCAGACTTTGTGGAATATATGGCCCTTTTGAAAGTAGGCAACTGCTAACTTTGCCTCTGTGGCATGAAAGCTGTCACATGCATAGATGAGCCCGAAGCTAATGGGTGTGGCAGCGTTCCAATCAAAGTATGTATAATACAAACTACCAAACAAAGTATGTATAATACAAAACTGGACTGCAGCCCGGATTGGGTCCATGGGCCAAACTGCACTTTGCTGATCCCTGATCTAGTTGATAGTCATTGGATGACAAGGTTCCATTTAATTTAACAAGAAAATTATAGACAGAAACAAAGGAAACCCCAAGACTATTTTATTCCACTCCTCTATTTTCTTCAATTTACAGATAAAAGTAAGCAACACAAGTATTAGATGCCCAGTTGTCACTGTCCCTTCCTCAAGACTCTGTAACCAGCAGTCAGATATCCCAGGGCCCAGGTATTGCCCAGGATTTTTCTGAGAACCTGATCCCAGATGGATTAGCTGCTAATCAGAGACTCCGCCCTCAAAGTCAGAGTTGGTTATTATGACTCTCCCTCCGGAAACACCACTAAAGTTTAACACCAGTCCCATGTCCCAAACGTGTATCCTCAGAAATCCTAGGGTCATTGTGCCCCCATAGTGGGGATATGCTCAATCACTACATCTTTCTTACCTTAAATTTCCAGCAAGAATTACAGCACTTGAAATGTTCTTATCGGTATGGTACATTGCAACCTATTTGAATTATGTTATCAGCAGGATTGTTAGCCAGCTCCTTGTCTTTTGTTTTTTTTTGTTTGTTTGTTTGCTTATTTAAGAAAGACACTGATAGAAATAAGATTATTAAAACTTTTTTTAAGGACTTGTGATAAATTGTGGGGTTGAAAGCATAGCTATACCCTGAGTAGGTATTTTTGTTTGTTTTTGTTTTTGTTTTTAGTTGAGCCATCCAAGAGGTGGCCTCTTGGCAGCTCAGCGGCAGCTCAGCTCAGGCTGGAAATCAAACCGGTGACCCTGTTGCTCAGAGCTCACACTCTTGAGCGAGCTCTTAACCAACTGAGCTACTCGGCCGGCCCAGTTTTGTTATTTTTTTAAGGAGGAGAAATAAAAAGTTCGGATGGTTTCAGTCTCCCAAGCATTAGTCTGAACTACAGCTTTGTGGGAGTTTCACCCTCAAAGCTATGTGGCAAAGAACCTACTGTGAATGTGTGTGTAGCTGAGTTACCACACAGGCCGCCTGGGTCAGCCCCTTGAACCTTGAGCATAGTCATTGGCCATAAATTTGTAGCTTGTTCACAGTAATCAGCTTTCTTCTAGAAATAAATAGGAAGCTACTTTAAGTAGCATTTCTAGTACTTTTCCTCTGCTTGCTACCAGATCAGAGACAAACTAAATTGCCTTTTTTTTTTTTCCCTCCTTTATCAGTGTGCAACGTTCTGACTACTTGAATACGTTTGAGTTCATGGACAAACTCGGAGAAAACTTGAAGATGAAACTAGCTCAGGCCAAACTTTAAGGTCATTCCGCAGCCTAGGAAGACAAGTGGTTGGTTTTTTTTTTTTGGTAACTAGGTCCACCGGTTTACACTTTTCTCTGTAACACTCAAGGGTAAGGGCGAAATCCATTTTGTAATTTGTTTAGAAGTCAGAGTTTATCTTTTCTATAAGTTTACAGCCTTTTTCTTATACATACAGTTAAGCCACCTTCGTGAACGTGGCTGGGGACTTTTTAAATTTTTATTTTATTTTCTACTAGTAGCTTAGGAATTAGTTTAGTGCTGAGTCGTAGTACTTACTGTCACTTTTTCTCATGTTCTGATCAATATAAATGACCAAAATGAAGAGTGCTTGAAAGGATAAACTATAGCCGCGGTAACAGTCCCTAAAATTCTGTAAAGTAGAAATTCACTCCCTTCCCCACTTTCCATGGCCTGGGGCTCTGGGTGGTTTTAGTGTAACAGGTGTCCCATCTTGTGAGGTAGAGCTGTACCTTAAACTTGCATGTGAATTGTAATGAAGAGGATGGTTGTAACCAAAACGTGTTGAAGACACAGCAATCATTTTTGTAAAGATCTCCAGTTGAATGTTTTGAAAATGCTAAAGATTTTTGAAGCCACTAAGAGTTTGGAATCCAGGATAAATGCTACCTGGGGGCTTGTCCCCTGTGTTTGTCTCCTCCTCCTGGTCTTGTGTGGCCTAAGTATTATGCTACCCTGAATGGCATATTTCATCCAAGTGCAATAATATTGGGTTGTCGGAAAAGTCATGATGCATTTTTGCAACAAAAAACATAGAAAAAATATGTCATGACTTTTCCGACAACCTAATACAAGCTGTACCTTTTGTGGACTTCTGCTGGCCTATTTTATTTCC